CCACGACCTGTTACAGGGATACGTTTACTTTTTTACTTTTTGCAGAGTTTTAGTATGTTAAAGCGTGTGGTACATATAGTAACCACTGAAAATTACAGGTTTATGGGTTTATCCTACACAGATCGGTGCCCGCTGAATATGAATGTGGTAGCTCCAAAAATAGATGCCCTTCAAATATGCGCAAAGAATCGAATTGGCGAATTTCTGGAAAAGTGCACAAACAACACTGATTAACTTATGGCGATCATCTGACTGAATAAAACTGCGTATGTTGAGCCTTCACGGAACGGACGAATTCGCTATTGTTCGGTATCCAGTAATCAGCTATGTTGTGCGGAGCAACATTATATTTTATTTCGAAGGGAACGTAATGAAACTCGGTCGTGTAAGCTCAGTGTCTCTGCGACCAAATTTCCATGTAGAAACCCCTATGAGATACCATCCAGTCGCCAGCTTCATCCCCGACACACTGACTAATGTGAGGGCTATATGAATATAAGAAGTCCTCCCAAAAGTAATTAACCCTGAAGATGGCAGCTGCATACTTTGTGGAAACTTTTGGAAACCCCCCAGTATTTGATGCAGCTTACTCCTGAAATCAAAGGGAAATAAGTACAGTGTGGCCAAGTGTGGTGTTCATAACCGTAACAATAGCAACTAAGCGACTATCAAGTTCTCACTCTGCTTCGCGAAGTTCGTGTTCCTTCTTCAGTAAACTACAGGAAATTGTATATTAAATGTAATTCTATATAAGAAGTCAAATGCATTGTAAGATGTGACATCTTGCAATTTTGTAGATCGTTACCGACGTTTCGGTGGAATTTACTGCCTCAATCTTCAGGGTCCTAACCGAATGTCGCTGTCGAGTGAGTAGAAATTGTAATTTGTATTCGGAAAAGAGGAGTACCGGGTACCATGAGCCTGGTTAGTTTAGGATTTGGGTTTATTCCCTGCAGGTAAATGCCGGTTTACTACCTTACACTAGGTCACGGTCCCTTCCTTCTACATCCCTTCCACTTCATTATTTATTAATCCTTTAATGAGGCATTGTTTTTGTTAAGGTTACTTACAGCGTTCTTATATAAATTATAAAAAAATAAATGTAATGTTTTACTCTTAAGATGGAGGCAGCATGTTCCTTCGAAATGTCTGTAACGGTATACCAGACTACACGGCGTCTCATCACAGAAGATACTAAATTTTTTAGTTACCGCTGCGAGATCGCCAAAATTTGCAGGTTGTTCTTTTAAATTCTTGTTGTTCGCCTCTTCTGTTTTATCACAGGTAATTTTATATTTATCTGGTATTCTATATTCTCCGTGGCATAAACGTTTTCTGATAAGGACTTGTTCCCATTTTGTCCAGGATCGTTAGAGGCAAACGTAAATTATAATAATCTCTGTCTCAGTTTATCCCAGAAAGACCGAAGTTTTTTTCAAATCTTCTTTGTCATGTTCTTCTGCTTCTCTTCCATAGACTTCATAAGTTCATTCTTCTGTATATTTTCTCTTCTCTTCTCTTCTCTTCTCTTCTCTTCTCTCCTATTTCTTGTTCTGTTAATCCCTCCACTCTCTCCCTCTCTGTTCTTAGAGTGCTTTTTATTTGTCATATATTTTCACTGTACTTTGCCTCCTTTACATCATCTTACCTTTAAACTTCTACTGCTTTTTTCCCTTTCTTCCTCTCTGTTTTTGACCCTTCCTTTCATGTTTTTGTTTTTAACATTCTCGCAATCCATCATCGTCTCCTTGTTTTGTCCTTTATTTTTCATTAATATTGTCACGTGTTTCAATGACTAAGACGCGGGTATGAATTGCTGAATCGGTGAGTAGGTGAATCACTGATCCTAACTACAATTAGTCCTTACACTCTCAAGATTACTTTAACTATAGCACACGTAACGTCACACACTAAGTCTTCTAATTCTTCTTCTGGCCACACTGTTGTTCTCTTGGAACTTAGGAACTCAAGTGAAGTGAATTCCCATTCCCATATTCTCTCATATCCTCCCGGCGCGGACCACGCACAGAAAACACAGTTTTATTGTTGCGTAGTGCAGACCACATAGAAAACAAGTCACGTGATAAATATCTCGCCAGTACATTGGCGCGCTGTGTGTTGCCTAGCAACGAGCTATAAACATTCGTCCTATTGTTGCGTGAACTTAAGCGAGAAGGTGTTTATCGCGCCGTTTCCTGGCTATAAATGTTGCAGTATGATCCGTGCAATTTGGCATACAAAGTCCGAAAGGGTTATGCCCTGTGTGGCTCATGTAAACGCAAGTTGGAACATGTCCAAACGTGCTTGGGTACATGAGTTTGCCTGACTCGACACGCTGCGGCCATTCCGGGAATTAAATTATCGCGCCTTGTACAGCTTTACATCCCCGGAAATTGGCCTTAAAACACACAATTAAATCTTCTAAATAGGACACAGTTGTGCTAGGCACGAGATTAGCTTCAAATAATATAGTTCAGTTATTTGCTGATAACAGAAAGCATCATGAAGGATTTGAAATCATGTTACTGTTACGAGCAGTAGCATGGACTGCTTGCAAAGTTTGGTTAAATCGATAATCGCGTTTATTACCTTTCCTCTGGTCTGACTGACCAAAAGTTTGTGGTACTATCGGGTTAATTCGTGGATGATATAACCAGCATCAGAGGCAGGGTAGCCAGCCGTCACTATAAAACGCAAAATTCCTGCCCCCCTCTTCCTGTCGTGTTTGCCAGCTCGGTCCATCAGAGGCTGATTGTGTTTCCCATATAACAATCATATAACTTTCCATGGAACCTCCATACAGATTGCCATAATTATGTTTGCCTGTGTTATGTACCATCCTCCCCATACACGGCTATCAAGTGGAGCTCTTATACGGTACACACAGTGTCTAGTGCAAGACTGACACAACGCACAATAATGTTGCATGAAGCAAGCAGCCACATTTTATACGCGTCAATACAGTGTATTTGCACGCCTTTCCATAACACGGTAATGAGGTTCTCTGCAAGGAGCATATATCATTAAGTAATGTTCTCCCCACACACGTTGCAGCCGGGACGTTTCGGTCGGTCTAAGGCATGAAGTGTCTTCACCCGCTCGAACACTGGGATCGTGGGTTCCAGTCCTACTCTCGTGGAACTGTGTGCGTTTATTCTTTGTGTTGTTCTGTATGTAGGTAGCGGCCTTGCGACGGGCTGAGTCCCGTCCAAGGAGTCGTGCCGTCTGTGTAGGATCAAGAAACTAAAAAAGGGCCAAGGTCCAACAAAGGGCAGTAGAGCCATAATAATAATAATAATAATAATAATAATAATAATAATAATAATAATAACAACAACAACAACAACTAGAGGCTGGACAACCATTCATTTAGTGGCGAGGTTAAGAGTGCCTCAAATTATACCTCCACTCCTCCATACATCTAACAAGCGGGGTCGCGTAGTGATAACTCTCTACACTCATATTCAGTAGGTGGTCGATTCGAGTCTCGGCCGGAACACCTGCTGTCCTCTTTGGTTTCCTCAGTCCCTCCAGACAAATTATGGGATAGTAACGCGATTAGACTACTGCCGCTTGTTTCCGTTTCATCATTCATCAGTCATCCTATCGTTCCACGCTACATAGATCTATTTATTTGTGGGTTGTTTAACGATGAGCTGTGTAGTCCAGGTACAGATACACTGACCCAGCACGCATGCCTCCATGCTGTTATGATTAATTAAGCACACGGATAACATTATTTGAAGTGAGGTAGCTCAGTAGGTACAGTGCTGTCTTCTGCTGGCTGGACAAACAAACAAAACAAATTCCGTGGCCTGTAGTCCTCAAGCGAACTACACCGACCGAACGACCGCCCCTTGTCGGTGAAGTTATTGCCAACTTTAGCTGATAGAAGGTGTCACGTGGTCAGCACAACGGTTCCCCACGGCAGTTAATCTCTGTTTTCTAGACCGGAGCTGCTGTTTCCTTGAAATATCTACTCAGTTATCCTCACGAGGCTGAGTGGACCCCGTTCTAGACCCACTACTTCTCAGAAAATCTGGTAGCGCTGGGAATCGAACCCGGACCTCTGGATCTGTAGGCAGGAATTCTGACCACTAGATCACAGAGGCTGGCTGGACAACGGATGAATAATGTGGTACTCACGGTAGGAGGAAGAGGTTGTTTTCTTCTGCATAACGTCCAGACCGGCTCTTGGACTCCCCCAGCCCTGTGTCCAGTGGGCACTGGGAGACTTGCCCCGGGAGTAAATCTGCTGGAGATTGGTTGTATATCTTCATGGCGTGGTGCTTGATTAAGCACAGAGACGACACCTTTTCATAATAATAATAATGATATGGCCTATAGACTCGCTACTAAGCAGTGACTCTATAAACATCGGCCATTACTAGGTAACGTCCGCAACATTCACTCACGCAACAATAGAAGAACGAGGCTTTCTATCTGGTCTGCGCCGCGACTGTTGCTATGCAATCATGACGTAAATACACCTCTATAACAATAGAGACTGTGTTTTCTGTTTATGGTACAAGCAGGAAGTCGCATATTCGATTCCCCATGAGGTCATTAAATTTTTTAATTTACTTGAGCCTTCCAGCCGCATTATGGCCCTGGGGTCGACTCAGCCCCTAACAAGTGATTACCAGGAATCTTTCTGGGAGGTAAAGGGCGGCGGGCTGCGAGTAAGGCTGACAACCTTACCGCTATCTGTTGTGCCGATTGTCTAGAAAATATGGGAGCCTCTACGTCTCAAAATCGTATATGCCTCCACGGACTGCTGCAGGGATAGCTTTACCTTTTTTTACCTCCCACCTACGTGGTTACACGACCTTACATAAGAAAATCAATGAGCTATCCGATACAGTAATCCTGGCACCCATCATATACTGAAGACGGAAGAGCTTACTGACGATGACGTAAGGATCTCTGGCACTATCTGAAGATAGTACAATAATATTGCTCTTCAGTTTTGATAATCTTTTGTTCTGTTTCTGTTGCAGGATCCTGCAAAGAACCGGTGCCTTACCAAAGAAGCAGCACCTAGGAGGAAATTATCTGGCCAGGTAGGGTTCATTTTCGCAACTTGTAGACTTTGTTTTACTCCATCTGTTATAGGAACAAGGGCGCTTCTTAATCAGGAATGGCCTGGACCGTTACGTAATCTTCATGAGTTGCTAAATTCTGCTGATATTCATACATATTTAGAGAGGATTCTTCTTCCGCAACCCCCGTTCTGAGGGTCGATGGTTGAAACTCGTGCCTCTATATGTTTTCCAGTAATGGTAACCGAGATGTGACCGCATTTCTGGTATAAAACAAAGCACGGAACATAAAGTAGTAATTATCGTGAACTGTTGTATGGCTTATTACACTATTCAGACTGTGTAACTGAAAATGTTAAGCTTTGCTACTTTAACGGTCATTAATATTTGTATGAACTAACAGCCCAGCAGTCGGTCACAGTAGCCGAGCGGTCTAAGGCATTTACTGTCTTCGATCGCTTGGAAACCGGGATCGTGGGTTCGATGTGGGCACGGATGTTTAGTTTGTGTGTGTGCGTTTTTCTGTGTTTGTGTACAGGTATAGGCCTTGCGACCAGCTGATCACCCGCCCAAGGAGTCCTACCGAATGTGTAATATCTAGAGAAACCGAAGTGAACGGTGAAGTTCATGGAGGTAGGCCTAGGCCCACTGAGGCTGTAGTGCCAAGGGAAAGAAAAAGGAAATAATTTCCTTGTGCTTAATTAGTTAAGCACTACACAATTAAGATGTATGTGGATGTGGAGGTACATATCCACGTATTAACCTCGGTAGTAGGTGGAGTGGATTGGTCAGCTTCATACACAGGCCGTTTTATCCCCAGGGGAAAGAGCCCCCCCCCCCGAACTCATTGGATAGGAGGCTGGGTTAGGCCAGAGCCGGACTGGAAGTTGTGGAAAAGAGAAAAATCACTTGCCCCTGCCGTGAACCGTATCACGACTTCTGATCAATCCAGTCTGTAACCCGTTGCTATACCGACTGATGTATCTCACCTCCTACAATAAGTTAATTACTTACTTACTCATGAAGCTGAGCCCTTCTGGAGGAGCCGCCAATTCTGCAGCTACTCAAGAATTCCCCAGCATTTTATGGAACCCGAAGGTTCATTACCGTGTTAACAAAAACCCTCCACTGGTCCCTATTATGAGCCTGATCTATCCAATCCATACCATCCCATGCTCTCTAAGATCCATTTTAATAATCTTTACCCACCTACTCTCTGGTCTTCTTAGTAGTCTCTTTTCTTCTGGCTTTCCCACCAATATTATATATGCATCCCTCTTCTCCCCTATTCGTGCTACATGCCCTGCCTACCTCATCCGTCAGTAAGTTAATTAGATAAAGTAATCTTGAAATTACATCTGCCCCAGAATAGAATCCAGGATAGGAAGAAAACTGTAATGACTGCCAACTTGACAGATGCCGCTTGTTCCACTGTTGCGCGAAGCCGCTGCAGTAACAAGCCGGTGTTACTGTAAGACGTCAAATTCCTGCCGGCAACATCCAGTAGCAGCAGGCATCTCTCTGTCGCACTCCAGCCTCCCCCTCACCCTTGCTTTATCTCCCCGGCCGGTAGGGGTGTTCCCAATTAGAGAGGAGAGCAGAGAACACCTTCCCCCACCCCATCCCCCGTATGCGGCAGTTAGATAGCGCCATCGGTAGACAGGATAATTAGCAAGGAACAGTAATCCTACTCCGCGTGGGTAATATATAGGTAGGCTTGTAATTAAGGAGTTTCCTTGCTTCCATACGTGTCCTGGAGGTTCAAATCCCCCAACCCCCATCCTCCCACCCAAACCTTCAAGTTCCTAAAATGCTGAAATGGTCCAAAGCGAGAATTGGTATTTAGTATCGATACAATTGAGATTTCGAAATTTTGGGACCTACAGATCCAGAGACTTCGGGTTCGATTCCCGGCGCTACCAATTTTCTGAGAAGTACTAGGTCTGGAACGGGGTCCGCTTAGCATCGGGAGTATAATTGAGGAGTTCTTTCAAGGAAGTAGCGGCTCCGGGCCAGAAAACCGAGATTAACGGCCGTGGGGATTCGTTGCGCTGACCACGCGACACCCTCTATCCGCTAAAGTTGGCACCAACTTCGCCGAGAAACGGCGGTCGCTCGGTCGGTATAGTTCGCTTGCGGACTCAAACCACGGAGTTTGGTTGTTTGTTTTTTCGGCGGTGTTGGCGTTACGTTGGCAAATACCCCTGTGTCACACCAACCTAGTCGACACTTGATGTCCTGACATTGATATGAATGGTTCTGAAGGGATTGCCTGTGGGGATTTAGACTTGGATGGATTGTCCAAGGAAAAAAGTTATTCAAACTACACCTTAAGCGGTTTCTTTCCTTTAAACATCTGTGGCTTCATCGTGATGCCTGCAGCTACTTTTAATAACGATCCCTTGGACAGGAACCGAGACTCGATTAATTATTTCTGTGTTTGCGTTCAGGCCAATAAAGTAATTATTTTAAGAAAATTTTAATTTTCTATATGGTTTCTAAATTGTGACAGCGCTGCATAATACTCTCATGAGAGGCACTAAGATACACGTCAGATGTGTTTTATATCCACTCAATAGAATCCTCTATGAAACGCTGATAGTTGCCCAGCTGGTCAAGAGATACCAAGTCATCTACAGAATCCAATGACATTGTTGTGTTCACAAGACCCTCCACTCTTCGCTATCCACGCAGAATAATCTAGTCCCCATTTTCATAACCTGTTTCTTTCAAGTCCATTTTATTATTATCCTCTCATCTACATCTTGTTTTTAAAATTCTGCGAATATTTTTCCTATTAAGCCAGTACGTTAACCGCAGACGGTCATTATGACTAGCGTCACTTTAGTCCCCTGAAGTAGGAGACTCTTCTAAATAACGTCCGAAAGTTCAGTTCTTACCCATCAGAATCGCTACATCTGTTCTAGGAATTATAACTAACTAAGCCCATCTGTCTATAGCCCTGCAGCCCTTTGTTGGACCTTAGCTTCTTTTTCAGTATCTTAATTCTATACACGTTCGGTAGGAAACCTTGGGCGGGGGATCAGCCCGTCACAAGGCCCCTGCCTACACACAGAACAACATATAAACAGAATAAGCACACACAGACATTCATGCCTCGAGTGGGATTCGAACTTACGATCCCAGTGATCGTGATATTATGTCTCTGTGGTCTAGTGGTCAGAGTTCTTGGCTACAAATCCAGAGGTTAGGGTTCGATTCCCGGCGCTACCAGATTTTCTGAGAAATAGTGAATCTGGAAAGGGGTCCACTCAGCCTAGTGAGGATAACACAGGCCAACAGCTGTTTTGGTGCCGGGGTATTTGGAGCTGATTTCATATGAATTTGATGCCCTGAATTCAAATATGGCATTAGTTTTTGCCTAGGAGCTCAAATTTTTAAGATATAACATTTTGGTGAAATATACGTTACACTATTTTAAGTTAAATCAGTGGATCAAATAAAAAAACTCAACATGGAATTTTTATTACTATATTATAATTATATTTTT